GAAAGGTATATCTATTTCAATTGTGGGTGTAGTATATGCATGCCAGTGGATATATAGTCATATCTGTAGAGTTGTTAGTACAGGCTTTCAAGACACAGAGATATGAGCTGGAATTCCCACTCCATGAGCTACCCCTGCCTGACCTTGGGCAAGCGGTATCACTTCTGCAAGCCTACGTTTCCCCATCCATAAGACAGGCGTGGTAACTCCCACCTTGAGAGTTTGGGGAACATTAAATGAGATGCTGATGTAAAGATTACTCAGTGTCTGGCCCATTGTGTTTAATAAATGTTAGCTATCACTCTACTTCCCAGTAACAGCCCAAATGCAGGCTAGTGTAAGAACTATGCCAGACACGAATGTGCACATGACACACCTCAGCCTTATTGGAGTGTAGGATCTGCTTCACTCAGGCACAGCTTGAGATTCTAAGTTCCTAACTTGCTCTGAGGCGAAGCTGAGGACACTTTGAAAATAAAAGATGTTTGTGTGTGCAGGTAGGTTTTATTGATCTAACCAGTGGTTCTCAATAATCTCTGCACATTAGAATCTCTCAAGGAAATTTAAAAAAATTGATGCTGGCCTCACAAAAGAATTAGAATTTGAATTTAAAGGATCAAAGCTGAGGCCTGGTATTTTTTAAAAAATCCGTCCAAGTGATTCCAATGACAGCCAGAGCTGAGGCACCCTGGTTAGTGACTTTCTGTTGAGAAAAATATCTTCACACAGTTGTTTCCCAGCGTGTTTTTATTTCCTCTATACTTTACAATAAGTAAGAATAATTTAGGATTTTAAGTGTATATTTCATTTCCTAAACTCATTTTTATGGGGTAATCAAGCTCCAAAGCTTTGCATGTCTTAGAAGATTTAATTGAGGCAAAGCTATACCAAATAACAATTCATCCTCCAGTTATCCTGGGCAATCAGATATTTGAGTCCTGTTTGCTAATTGCTCTTTCCTCCTGTGAACCTAAGCTGTAAAATGTTCACCTGCCAAAGAGGTAACATACTTTATGGCCACAGCCCCTGTACACACACACTGTATAAGGCAGAAGAGAGAAGCAAGCAGAAAATGGATTTTTGTCAAAGGCCCAGAGCGTAAAGAGGGGAGTTCTGCCCTCTGCTATGGGGAGTTCCAGAGGAAGTTACAGACTGTCTGTCTCTCATGAGAAGAAAGCCTAAGTGTGGTAAATAAATTTGTTAAATAAATTCAATAGAGGCAACACCCAAGTCCTCTGACACTTGTTTTATCTGAGACTCAGCAACTGAACTTTCTTGCAAGCCCCATTTCTCTTCCCTGTTTCCTGCTTTGTCATGTGTAATAAGATTAAAGAAGGAGAGTAAGAGTGAATTCCTGAACATGGCACACAGAAGCTGGTTACTGTGCATTTGGTGAACGAATAAGTAAATATTACTCTTCAGGCCTGAGTCGATCTGGCAGCAGATAGCTCTGTCTTGGTTATAAGTCTGGAGATGGTTCCCGTCACCAAAGGATCTACCCTTAAGATGGCCCTATTATAGACACCCAAGGTGAGAGCTATTATAGGTGCTCAGTGGATTTCATGAAATGGAATCATGCAGGGAATTCAGGAGCAGGAATATCTTTCCACATGTGTCATCCCAGAGCCTTCTCAATCTGTCCAAGCAAATGCAAGTGTGACTCACAGTGTTTTATAGAGAGGCCCTCATGTCATAGACCTGCCCCCACCCCATCCTGCACCACAGAATGCAGGGCAGATATGAACTCTAGCGCTGTTAGAAAGTCACCTTCATGTTCTGGCCATGGCTGAAACCGGGTTTGGAGGCAAGATGTAAAGCTGCCAGTCATTTTCGATAAATGTCAAGTTTTGTGCATAACTATCAAGTGTGCCGTGTGATGATTAAGAATGCCAGTCTGTGCAATTTGGGTGAAGTTGCAAGTTTGATGAGAGTAAAACAAGTGAGTACAGTTAGGCTCATCCTTTCTTCTTCTATGTGCCAACCTCCTAACTGAAACTTAGTATGTGCTAGGCACTGGAGATATGAAAACAGACTCAATCTGGTCTCTGCTTTCAAAGTCTTGCAGGATAGTAGAAGGAGAAACTCAAGTCGAATAGAAATTGCCATGTGAATCCTTCAAGCAACAGGAAACCCAAAATTTACTTATACTGTAAAATCTATTGCCCAGGATGGTCTGGGAATGGGCTGTTCTGGTTAGTAAAAGATCTCAGTCAATAAAGAGTGGCCATGTATTGCATGTATGGATTACCTCTTCCCCAAGAATTAAAACATGGTACAAAAAAAGGGAACAGATGTTTACTGACTGCCTGCTACCTGCCAAAAGAGGCACATCACATGTGTCATTTTGCTTAGTTTTCCCCACAATACTTAGACACAGATTCTAACCTTACACCTGTATAGATAAAGAAGCAGAGACTCACAGAGCTAAATGACATGCTCAAGATTAAAGCACTCATAGTCCCGATACTAGTCAAGGTTCATCTGTCACTAAATCCCATGCTCTTACCATACCACTTTTTATAATGGCAAAAATTCCTTGAGTAGCATACACTTAGAAGCCATCCCCAAGTATTTGTTGAATGGATGTTTTGACTAATTAAATTAATGAATGAATGAACTATAGAAATGATCCCTGAAAGTATAGTCTTAACTGAGGAACAAAGGGGAGAAGAAGGGGGGAAATGGTGGGGGAAAGGGAGAGAGGCAAACCATGAGAGACTCTTGAATGCTGACAAAAACTGAGGACTGATGGATGGGGGGGGGAGGGGGGGATGGGCATGGAGGAGGGCACTTGTGGGGATGAGCACTGGGTGTTATGTGGAAACTAATTTGACAATAAACTATTTGTAAAAAAAAAAAAAAAAAAAAAAGTTCAGGTAAGCTAAAGGCAGACCCAGAGCAAGGTCTGCCACCCTCACCTAAAATCCTCCCTCCCTTGCCACGGTCTACACCCAAATCTTCCAATTCACCCATGCCCTGCTACAGCTGGCTTTTCTTTCCCTTCTATNATGGATGGGGGGGGGAGGGGGGGATGGGCATGGAGGAGGGCACTTGTGGGGATGAGCACTGGGTGTTATGTGGAAACTAATTTGACAATAAACTATTTGTAAAAAAAAAAAAAAAGAATGAATGAATGAAGCAAGTGCTCCTGAATATAATTTGATCTAACCTTTTGTCATGATTCATAAATTACTTTAAGATCTTGCTGCATCTCGGCCATAATGAATATTCATTCATTAATGATGGAGGCAGCATAATTTGCTACAGTTTCCCCACACTTTATCCATGCATACACTACCTTCGTTAGTTTTGCTTTGCTTTACCACTCTTTATGCTATTGTTTTTACGGGATTCTTTAAATCAATTCAACTTTAATTTTTTTTAACAAAATGCTATGCCCCTATGGTAAATGGAAAACCAGTATGGTATCACTGTTACTGGTAAATAGAGGGTATGTGCAAAAATAAGTGCAACAAAAGTCGTGTTATTAAATTCTACCCAGATATCTACAGTATCTTCCTGGGAGCTTCCTGTTTTATTAAAAGGAGAAATAGCCATTATTGGGGTGGGAGAGTCTAATTGCAAATTACATGTTGTTTGAAAGACTGAAGTAGAATTGAAGAGGAAATAAATTCCTCTCTGGGTTCCCTTTAGGCCTTAATTCTATCCTAGATAAAATTATTTCACATGCTTCATATGTGCCTCATATTTTGGGAAATACTGTTGGAGCGGAAACTATTGATTTTTTTGTTTATTTTTAAATATAATTTATTGTCAAATTGGTTTCCATACAACACCCAGTGCTCATCCCAACAAGTGCCCTCCTTAATGCCCATCACCCACTTTCCCCTCTCCCCGACCCCGTATCAACCCTCAGTTTGTTTGCTGTATTTAAGAGTCTCTTATGGTTTGCCTCCCTCCCTTTCTGTAACTTTTTCCCTCTTCCCCTCCCCCATGGTCTTCTGTTAAGTTTCTCAAGATCCATCTAACTGGCTCTGAATTTCAACTTTACTAACTGTATGTCCTAGCGTGAATCTCTTTGAGCCAGTTTCCTCAACTATAAAACAGTAATAATAATACGTATTTCATGGTTGTATTTTCAGGATTAAGTGACATAGGTATAAAGAGCTTATTAGCACAGTGCCTGGTGCATAATAGGTATACACTACATATTAGTTCTCTTCTTTCCTTCTCCGTATTGACAGAAAATAAACTTCTACAATGGGTTTGTATGGTGTGGTGGGTGAGGGTACTAGGGACGTAGCAATACCTGAGTTTGATCCTGGCTACTTTTCTGTGCTTGTTTCATTTTCTTTTGTTTTTTTTTTTATGTTTTATTTATTTCTAGAAGAGAGAGAGACACAAACACAGCATGAGCAGGGGAGAGTCAGAGAGAGAGGGAGTCACAGGCTGAAACAGGCTCCAGGCTCTGAGCTGGCAGTCAGCACAGAGCCCGACGCGGGGCTCGAACCCACGAACCGCGAGATCATGACCTAAGCGAAAGTCGGACGCTTAACCGACTAAGCCACCCAGGTGCCCCATGTGCTTGTTTCATTTTCTAAAAAGAGGATGGCTCTCCCTTGCTGGCCTCCTGGGAAGACTAAGTGAGACTGTGTGTTAGCAGAGGCCTAATATATAGTAAGAACTCAACAAATAAGAGTTGTTATTATTACTGTCACTTGTGAGGGGAGATAGTATTTGGCAGGGAATGGTATAACTTGATCCATATGGAGAAGATGAGCCTGGATAATAGCTTACAGGAGAGCCATAAGCCCCACAGCTGTGGAGTGTTGAGAGAACTACCTAAAAGCAGTGGATCCAGAATTCCACTCTTTGCCCAGACAGGATAGGGCACAGAAGAGAAAGAGCCTAAAGGACTGTCCCGTTCATGACAAGTATCTCCTGGAAAATGGGGGCGCGGTGGGTCTCCTCAGCTCCCACTCTGTACAGAACTGAAATGTGAAGGCAGATAATGGGAGAACGGCTTGTATTTTGTTCAGCTTTATTCACAGTGATGGTCTCTCAGGAACTGTACACGGTAGACTACGGCAGCAATGTGACCCTGGAGTGTAATTTTGACACCGAAGGTCACGTGGAACTCAAAGACTTAAGGGCCAGTCTGCAGAAGGTGGGAAACAATACATCCTTGCACAGTGAAAGAGCCACTTTGCTGGAAGAGCATCTGTCCCTGGGGAAGGCCTTATTCCACATCCCTCAGGTGCAAATGAGTGATGCAGGGCAGTATCGCTGCCTGATCATCTACCGGGTTGCCGGGGACTACAAGTACCTGACTCTGAAAGTCAAAGGTGAGTAGTTTCAAGGACGAGAATCTGTGGAGGCATCAGCACAAGCAAAAACTGGGGGGATTGTTAACAAGGATACCGGGCAGTCTTAGAGAAAACAGAAGCACCCGCCCAGAAGTATTTTTTAACCTCTGAGTATAAAGCAGCTGAGGTGAGGGTAACTAGGGGCAGGAATTGTAGAAATAAGTGGGTCTGGAGGGTAGGCAGGAAATGAGTCCCTGAAAGGTGGGAGGGGTCCAAACTAAGCCTTGCCTCACCCACGGACCTCCAAAGGAACAATACTGACCTGATGGTTAAGCTCCTCTTTGAGAGAAGCTTATTCTTCTGGTCCAGAGTGTTTGAAGCCATGGTTTGCCAACCGTTAATGGATAGAAGTATCAATTTAGTGAGTAGCAACCAGGTAGGTGTCTTTTTCCTAATAAAATGAATGACAAAATGAATAAATCTGAAGGCATCACATAGGCTGAGTATTGTTCTGTGACACTCTTGTTTCAGAGGTGTGTATGTGTGTGTATACGTGTGTGTACGTGTTGGACTGTGATATAAAATATTTTTGCTCACTCTGGGTCACAATTTAAGAAGTTTGGAAAACACTGCTTTTGTCCAAGCTTTACCTATTGCAGATGAAGCAGCTAAAGTCCAGAGAAGTCAAGTGGGTGGGCCAGGGAGGCCCGGTTAAGTCAGTAGCTGTCCCCATTCCTCTAGGTTAAGGGCTCTCCTTACCTGGATACCAGCCAAGAACCTAAATCCGAAGAGAATCTTCAAGTTCATGTTTGTTCTGGAAGAGGTCATTTTGGGAAAGACCATAAAAGAACAGATTTGGCTTTGTTCATCAGCTTGTGTTTTTCATCCTGCCCTGACTGCTCTGGGTTTTTTCTATGTCCCCTTCCAGTCTCACCTATTAGGCCTCAGAGGATCTGTTCTGTCTTCTGGAAAGCCCATAGACTTTGGTCCCTAAAGACCATTGCCCTTGGCAGCAATGTTGTAACTTTATGATCTGATAGAAAGAAGGACAAACTAGAAGAATCAGACATGAGGGTGAATTTGTTTCCACCTGTGACCTTGGGCAGGTTATTTCACCTTTCAGACTCTCATGCTATTCTTATTTGTAAAAGGATAACAATAATAGAACCTACCACATAGGATTATTGTAAAAATTAAGAGAGCTAATGAACATAAAGAACTGAGCATGGTGCTTGGCATATGGTCAGTGTCCAGGGGGTTGGTTTAAAGACCTCCTCTCATCTCAACCATTATTAAGTCAATAGGAAAGTCATGAGCCTAGATGTAACTGACTTCCACCTTCACTGCATTTCCTACATCCGGAACTGAAATGAATACTACAACTTTGAAGTTAGCCTGAGTTCAATTAATGGGAAGAAAGAGGGCTCTACATTCTCTTGATCTCCTAATGTGTTCAGCATCTGCACCCCTAACTCCCTGCCTCTGTGTTTGTTAATCTCTATTTGAATACTGTAAGGCATCTAGGGTTTCTGGGGAGTTGGGGGCCAGTCATCTCACTCTTCCTGTCCAACTGAGGGCTGCCCCTCCTTCCTGGAAAGCCACTCTGCCAGCTTCGTCACCTAGCCTGGGGAGGGCTCAGGAACTCAGATTCCTTAAATCTGAATTATTTATTCTTTAAATCCTTGATGGTCTTCGAACTAAGGTATATGGGTATACAAAGACTTTCTAAGGGACAGGAAGTTTTAGAAAAAGAGTTTCTAATTCTTCATCTTCCCCAAGTACTCTTTCCCCAAATTGAGTGTGCCTGAGAATATGCCTTCCAGGCAAGGCTCTTGGGATTCCCCTAAAACACTTCCTCTTTGATAATTGCCTTCTTCCACTTTATAAAAAGTGTGCCTCTCGCCATCATGAATATGATGCATTTCCCAGGGGCGTAGAAAATCTCTATGGTACTAACTGAAAGAGTGATTGGAAATATTGGTACCTTATCAAACTGCAATGACTAATAAGTACTTCTGAAAAACAAGTGATATCAAGTTCTATGTTCAACAAAATTTGAGGAGTCCCTAATAGAGTTAACAGATGATAGTAAAAAAATGAAATAGTTTTTTTGCCATGTAAATCATAATGAAATGACATTCCTATAACAGAACTGCTTCTACTCCCACTTACTCATTCATATGAGGAAGCCGTTCTTGCCACAAAAACGGAAAGCCAGAAATAGAACTGATGCTTACCCTTGCCTCATTCCAACCACAAGTCATATACATCCTCAGATAAGTGGACAGGTTGAAAAAGAGAGCCCCATCCATCCTATTAAGAGATTTCTAGTAAATTTGCTCTCTCATGTTTAATCATTATAACCATTTACATCTAGATTTTACATGTGCTGGTAATATTTATCTTTGAGAGAGACCGAGACGGACAGATCGTGAACAGGGGAGGGGCAAAGAGAGAGGGAGTCACGGATTCTGAAGCAGGCTCCAGGCTCTGAGCTGTCACCACAAAGCTCAATGTGGGGCTCGAATTCTCAAACGCAAGATCATGACCTGAGCTGAGGTTGGATGCTTAATGGACTGAGCCACCCCGGTGCCCCAGGAATTAGATTTAAACACAGAAGAAAACTATGAACACTTGAAGCCTAGTGATCACAAGAAGAAAAGACCACTCTCAATAGCAAGATGTATTTTGTCATTGCAAAGAAACAAGGATAATCAATAAAAGAGCTTCCAAACATGCTGTGTTAGGATAAAGTCCTGCAGAAAAAGTGGCATGGGAGCTGAGGGTCATGGAATGAAACAGTGTGAAAAAGTGTAAACAGTGTAAAGCTTGGACTATGAGAGGAGAATTTTTGTATTTATTTTTCCATGGATGGTGGCGTGTGTAAAATATATCTAGATCTCTTTGCTTCTAGACAGTATTAGATACATATGTAAGAGTCAAATCATTGGCTCTTTATAAAATATAAATGTTTACAACATTCTAAACATTACCTATTTTTCCAATATAGAAACTTAGGAAAAAATATAAGAACCAACCTAAGACGTGTGAGAAGGAGCATACTGTGTCCAAGTCCTTTTAGAAGGAATGCAAGCAAAAACCGGTAAAGCTGAAGACTGTCACCTGAGAGTGTTCTGACCTGATCAGGGGCCTCTGGAGGAAACGGGAGATTTGGGACCTCAATCAGGATTTGCTTCAATGACACAGGACCAGAGGAGGGATGTGCTTTTTCCTTAAAATGCCTCATTAAATCCCATAAACTTGAAAACAGGTTTATAGCACCTTCTTGGTTGCTTCTTGGATGCAGTTCATATTAAATATACTGAAAAGAAAACTAACTTCAAAAGTACAGGAAAATAAATACTAGGTAGAGTGGCTAGAGAGTCCAGAAGAGATGGGTTTCTGAAGGGGCAAGCTGCTGCTACAGGACTGTGAGTAACCTGTCCAAGGGAGGTCAGGGAGCGTGACCAAAGAAGAGTGCCGTGACCCCGAGAGGCCAGAGAGCCCAGGGCTTGGGCCCTCAGCTTGAGAACTGCTCTCTGCAAAGGATCCCAGGCAGTCACAGAACAGGTTGTAAGAACAGAAGAGCCAAACCAGCCTGAAGTCCCCAGGCAGAGTGTGCAATGGGGACAGGAGAGCGCCAGCCTCCAGAACAGGCTGAGGCTCATGGAAGTATTTCAAACCAATGAAAAGGCCCAAGCTCGATGGGTGCACATCTTGAGCAAATGGAGGAAGGAGGCAGCAAGGCTTCCATTTTCTCGCACGATGTTGTCTTACTAACCCAGACAGTTCCCAGTGGGTTGAGGCTGCCCAGAGGCAAAGTTTGACTTCGCAGAAGGATGATCTTTCCAATGAAAGTTTAACTTTCTAACTGTCTAATCATAGTAATGGCTACTCCTGAAAGTAGGAGCTTCCATTAATCGATGTAGTTAGTCCAAAGTTAGTCATCTAGCAGGTTACTAATATCAGAAAAGTATTAGTAAGATAAAAAGGGACATTTCATAATGACAAAGTCAAGATGACAGGGAGACATAACAATCCTAAACGTGTGTACATCTAGCAACATAGCTTCAAGACATAGAAAACAAAAATTGACAGACCTAAAAGGAGATATAGATCCATAGTCATATTTGGAGATTTCAGCTCATCTCTATTATAACAGATAAAGTAAACAAAAAGGAAAATAGAAGGTTTGAATAAACACAGCCATCTTGGCCTAACTGACATATGTAAAACTTGTACCCAACAACTGCAGAGTAGGAAACTGGACTATTTTTAATTTTAAGATTACTTTCATCTCTGAAATTCTACAATTTACTCATCTTTTCCTAAAAATATCTCCCTTAGTTCAGCGTCCCCATTGTGTGTTGCTAATAATGATGCCTTTTCAGCCACTTCCCAAATATGCATGAGGCTGCAGAGGAGTCTTTAATACTGTAAACATGCAGGCTGTGGGCTCCCATCCCTTCCCCAAACCTTGCTGGTTCTGTTAGGTGAACATCTCTCTCATCTGCTCCCTCATTTGTATATCCCAGATTATAGCCTCAGCCTACTGATTGCTGGGCACCCAACCTCTGAAACCACCTCTCTACTTGGCCCTCAAGATCAGCTTCTTGTCCTGAGCCATCCTGCAGGAACTGGCCAGACCTTTATATGCAACACATTGCTTCTATGAATCCACTTATTCTCCTCCATCCCTTCAAAGACCCCAGAGCTTACAGAAATAATCTACACTGTAGTAGGATGAAATGATTTTAAGAGGACGTCAAACCAAGGGAAAGTATATGTAGATAAATAGTGTAAAATGAAAGATAAGGTAAGTACTCAAAATACATGCTTCAAATCCTGTTGAATTGCTAGAGGTAGACCAAAATTGTCTTCAAGGACACTGGTAGGTCTAACCAGTTCACCTCCTCAACAGGATGCTTCAAAACTTGCTTCTCTTCATCTTCCGCTAATTCCATGGGTCACTAATTCCCCCTGGAAAAACAGGTCTTCCCTTTCTGTGTCTATTGCTCTATCTCCAGACTTTTGCAGTTACATTGAGAATCATTCTCTTATGATGATACCAATACTGAATTCGGAATAATGTAGCCATGAAGGGCATGAGTTCAAGTCCCCCTAAGCTGTTTCCTTATTTACAAAATTGGAATATGAGGGATGCCTGTGTGGCTCAGTCGGTTAAGCGTCTGACTTCCGCTTAGGTCATGATCTCATGGTTCGTGGGTTGGAGCCCCACGTCGAGCTCTGTGCTGACAGCCAGCTCAGAGCCTGGAGCCTGTTTCGGATTCTGTATCTCCCTGTCTCTGACCCTCGCCTGCTCATGCTGTCTCTCTCTCTCTCTCTCTCTCTCTCTCTCTCAGAAATAAATAAAACATTAAAAAAATTTTTTTGAAAAAAGTTGGAATATGAATTTCACCTACCGCATAGGGTCCTTGAAGAGTTTAACTGAGACAATGTATGTCAAGAATATAGAGTCAGGGTTTAAAGCTGCTCACCCCTGTTCCTCTCCCTGGGACTGCTGGTCCAAGTCTTTGACCATGTGAGCTGTATACACAAGAACCAATAGCCAAATGGGAAATGAACTCCATTTTTAAAATTAATAACTGGATGAGCACATGGTTCTCTCCTTTCCCCCTCTCCTAACTTAGAGCTTCTCTGGTGACTTACACTGGAGAACATGACCTAGAATAAGGGCCTCTTTTTTCTCTGCACCCTCATCCTAACTTAGAGTCTAGGTTTGCAGAACAGACCCTAAAATTACTCCTCTATCCAGCCTCATGAATAAGAAAGTCCATCCCACTCACCCAGTCACAAGCAGAAGCTAGCATACTGTGAGCCAGGAAGATTTCAGCCCAGCTGAGTATGCTTTACTACAAGGAGACAAGAACTTCAAGAGAGGCTCACAGACTTTGACCCTCAAGATGAGGTCACCCAGTGCGCTGAATCGTGATGCAGTGAATGTCCTTGACTCTAACTAATCAGATTACCAACTCACAACACAGAGACACAAACAGAAGTACTCAAAGGGCAAAAATGTGGAGAGCGGCCTGAATATTCCCTAGCCTCCCCCTCCCCAGTATGTAAAATCACAGGGCGTGAAGCTTAGCACCTAGAAAGCACTTACTACCTCATACACATTTGATGTTTTCCACAGGCTGTCATCACGATTTTACTGTAAAATTGCTTTTCAAAATGGGTGTGCCCATTTATATTCCTCCCAACAATAAGAAAAAAAAAATGGTTTCATCACACCTGTGCCATAAATACAATCAAAGATTGTATCAAAATTCTTTAATATTTTCTATTTAATGGAAATTAGTACTCATTTCCTCTTCACCAAAACCCAGCAGATGACTTTCCATATTCCCTGGTACCTGCATATAATGTTACTATGTTTTCATTTGGGGCTATCATCTAAGATAATTGGGCAATTTGTCATTGTGTCTTCTTATTGCTTTCAATGTCATTTGTATCCATCTTAGATCTCAGTTTTCTGAGAAGAGAGCCAGGAGCTGCTTTGGATTAATTCACTCAGCATATACTGTACACAAAAGTGTGTGTGTGTGTGTGTGTGTGTGTGTGTGTGTTGTACAGGATAAGTAAGTAATAAATATAGCCAATTCTTAACTCTTTATAGACAGAATCTAGGGATTTATTTTTCCTCCTCCTAATCTCATAGAGAAGAGAGGAAAGGGGAAAGTGGTAAGAAAGTTTTCTTCAGAGGATGTTAGAAAAAGCACCAAATAAAAACAGGAAAGTGGGGCTTATCTAGGGATTTTATTTAACCACCCTCTCGATTTTCTCCAGTTTCCTGTTGTAAGATAATTTACAGGAATACAGAAAGCCCCAGAGTGTGGTAGTGGAAAGCACTGTTGGGACTTGGAATCAAACTCCCAATGTGTGGATGTTGGCTCCACCAGTTATTAGAACCTTGTGACTCTGGGCAAAATACTCAACCTCACTCACTTCAGTCACCTCCAACAAAAATTAGGAATACCGACAACACCATTTCTATTATAAAAATGAAATCCTTCAATGTCAATAGCATGATATCTGGGACAAAGGAAATGTTTAAAAAATTAAAAGCATTATCACTTAATATTGATAATGGTAATTTTATCATTTCACACTGCATTAAGTACAGAGCTCTCTAGGAATCAGAAAAGAAAAACTTATTTCTTTTTCCTTTTGTGTTATCCAGCTTCCTACAAGAAAATTAACACTCAGATCCTTAAGATCCCAGGGGTAGATGAGGTAGAGCTCACCTGCCAGGCTGAAGGTTATCCTCTGGCAGAAGTGTCCTGGCCAAACGTCAGCGTCCCTGCCAACACCAGCCACACCAAGACCTCCGAAGGCCTCTACCGGGTCACTAGTGTTCTGCGACTAAAGCCACACCCTGGCAGAAACTTCAGCTGTGTGTTCTGGAATGCTAACGTGAAAGAACTTACTTCAGCCGTCATAGACCCTTACGGTAAGAGCAGCCCACCCTTCCTAACTCTTATCAGTCAGGAGATAGGTGGCATTCTCAGAACGAGTAATTGGAGGATAGTATAATAAAGCCTGTTTGTGAAGATGTGATCAGGTTTTCGAGAAGCAAGTAAGGTTATTGCCGGACCCTGGGGCTTCAGCAGTCAGAGGAACAATTACTACTGTTGAGGTGCTTACTGGATGGAACCTGGGGACAGCACCAGTTGACAGGAGTGTGGCCTCCTGTAGATGCTGCCACCTGTAGAAAGCTCCGCGATAGAAGCTGGGTAAGCGAATACCCCAACCTCACTCTACCCCCAACCCTCCAGTCTCCTGCCGTGCCTCCCATTAGCTGCACCCAGCTGCAAGTCAGAGAACAAGGGAGTGCTGCTGATGTGTTTCAAAAAGGTCAGCCTCTCAGAGCTCAGAACCCAGTGTTGAAGTGCAGAGAATGGATCCAAGGAGGAAACAGATCATAGCCAGCACGAAAGCTAATCACTGTGACTCAGGCACAGTGCCGAGAGTCAGCAGGATAAATGTGACTTTGCTGGCTCTGCTGACAGTCAGGTGGTTCTAGGGTTTTCAAGGAAAGCTGGCCTTTTGTAAAAATTTTCAGAGCCTTTGCTGACGGTGCTGAATCCCATACTTTAGAACTTCATACACAAGGGAAATTTCAAATAATTTGGGAGTCTGACCATTTTGTAGTTGCTGAGTAAGAATATTTATTTGCCAGATAAGAGCAACTATACATCTAGTATCAAAATTCTTCCATAGGAGAAAGATCATCTTTTCACCAAGCACACATGCTTCTTGTGGGCTTCAGACAGCACAAATTTATTAGCTTATACCTCTGAAAATCAGAAATCCAAAATGGGCTTCACTGGGCTTAAATCAAGGCGTTGACAAGATTGCAGAGGCTCTAAGGGAGAATTCATTGCCTTGTTTTTTCTAGCTTCTACATTCCTTGGCTCGTGCATTCCTTGGCTTGGGATCCCCTCTTCCAGCTTCCAAGCCACCACTGCATCCCTCAGACCTCTGCTTCTGACATCACATCTTTCTTTAATTCTCCTGTCTCCCTCTTCCACCATGTTGAGACCCTTGTAATTGCATTAGACACCTTCCCCCAACCTGATAATTCAGGTTAATTTCCCCATTTCAAGGTCCTCAATATAATCACATCTGCAAAATCCCTTTTCCCATGTGGGGTGACACATTCACTGGTTTTGGCGATTAGAATATGGACATCTTTGAGGGAGTCATTATTCTACCCTCCCAGCAAAGGATATAATCTCTGAGTAAAGGACAGTCCCTAGAGCTGCTTAAATTTGACTTTATAGAAAATTTAATACTGTCATTATAGATTTCACTTTTTGCCCTTTGTCTTAGTTAGACAAAGCAAAGACTATGTTAGGAGCTTGTGTGGCATGCAAGTACTTAGGTGGTGGCCTCAGGGAGCAGAGACAGGAGGCTTAGGAGATTCAGACAGGAAAGAAGGATTAAGTTGTTGCTGTCAGCAAAACAGGAGCTCAGATACCCAAGGACCACCTGGGAAGTATACAGACAGCCTCCTAAGATGCTCACTCAAAGCACTGCAGGTGGAGGTCATCTGCTTTCACCTCTACTGGTTGACAGTAGTCTCCAGGAGCGTGCACTCCATGCTGTGAGCTATGCATGCATGTGGGCTGAGTGAGATCCCCCCAGCATGTGTAGCATCAGGTCATCCCAGGGCAAAAAGCCAAGTATGCATCTGAGGCAAATGAAGCAAGTCAGAGCTCACCTAGACTTCTCCCGAGCTGTGGCTGGAGTCAGAGGTGAAGCGAAGAGGAAGTAAGGCAGAACTGCAGCAGTCATTCCCTTGCCCTGCTCACCTGTAAGCCTACACTAAGTCCCCCATGACTAAACCTTCAGGCTGGGAGGCAGCCATGATCTCTTCACAAGATTTCATATGCAAGAGTTCATAGAACAAGCTACGGTTCTGGCTGCTGAAGTGGATGCGAAGCCATACCGACCATTGTCCTCTCTCTCGTCCACCATACTTTCTAGATGTCCTTTGCTGGGCACTTTAGACAGAGTACTTCAGATGTTTGCCTGGGGGTGGGGTGGCGGCCGGTGACTCTAGCTTTCAACCCTGAGAGCACTGAGCCCTTGGTTGCCTTGCCCTGAACCAACTGACTTGTGGCTGTTGCCTTTTCATTGTTATTCCTGAACGTGGAAGTAACAAAAACCAGAGAATCCATGGATCCCTGAGTTCTAGACCTAGTCTTCCTGCCTGCGTTAGGTAGCAGCATTCAGCTTCTTCATGGTAATCAAGACTGATCACTCCGTCAGTAGAGAAATTCTTTTCTCTGCCTGCTAGTAGTCCCGTGGGTAGAACTCAAGCTATGAATTTAGATGCAGTTGAACATATCCCTGGATGGAAGCCTTTGCCACTAGGAAGCCAGCCTTCAATCCAGTGGAACCTAAATCTGTGGGGATAAAAAGCAAAAATTCCACCAGTGGGTCACTGGATGTAACAGTAAGAAGGACCAAGCTTCAGCACTGAGGAAACCCTGGCACAGAAGCAGCATGTGCTTGAGGTGAGATTTTTCAGGGACAAGTGCATTAGACCTGACTGGAACCATCCATCATTCAGCCAGATTCAGCCCTGGCTGCAATCAGGGCTGGGACAGACAGAATAGGAGCTGGGGCATCAGAGATAGCTGCTCTATCTCAAATTAAAGTACACTTCATCATGAACCGGCACCAGTCTAGAGACGGGACTGAGGACTTTGGAGCAACTCAGTCCCCATCGTGTCATTAATTTCCCAGGATGTTATTCAGGGGGAAGAGGTCCTCCCTGCCACAGTTTTCAGGGGCAGCCAGCTGCCTTCTCATTGCCAAACCCTACCAGTCCCCCACCTATCCACACTTCACTACCCAGTCCCCACACCAAGGTGAGCCCAGCTTCTTTCTAACTGAATGGTTTTGATAAAGTGAGGAAGTCAAGAGAGATGCCATGCTAAGAATCTTGGTAGAAATGAAGACATTAGAAACACATCATTTTTAGGGTCAACTTTGAGTAAAAAGAGTGAATTAGGCAAGCTGGTCTTTAATGTTCTCTGCCTCTTTTTATATCATAGTGAAGATCCTCAGACTTGTCACTTGATGAAAATTTAGCTACAGTTAATTCATACTAGAGCTTTAGAGGCTTCAATACTAACTATCACAGAAGAATTTATGTTACCTGGAATTGTTGAGTAACTGTCCTTTGCTCTGTGGAATTTCCTGCCTGGTTAAGTGTAGGCCAATGCTTTGGATGGAATGTGGTTTTCCAGAAAGATCAGGGAAATAGGGGGCTGGGTAAGATGAATTTAGAGATAACTGGAATCTAGCCTTTGCCCCCATTGATTACATCAGTGGTTTGTTTGTTTGTTTTTCCTTTGTGGTAGAGAAGTAGGAAGGGCACACTGGCCATTCCTCTGGAAGTCTTGAACCAATGAGAAATTGCGAATGAAATAAGGTGGTCCTTCTTTCCATGGAAGCCAGTGTAGCTGAATGAATAGTTAACAATCATGGGAGAGGCCTGTGGGGTCCACATCAGCTCAGGATCTTCTAGGATGTCACTCATAAGTGAAACGGCAAGGATATGAAGAGATTTTTGTGCAGTTAGAGATTTTCAGCCTACATTTACCTATTCTTCCCAGAGTTATATGTATGCAGTTACCTCCTGGTATGGTTCCTGGACTCTGGTCAGCTCCCCTTCCTCACCAAGTGCTCTCTGAGCTTGCTTGCACCTCTCCTACCTGCATGATTTCTCTGCTCAGGCAGTTTCTTCTACAGAAGATATGCTTACTCACCCTCTTCACCAGCTTCAAGTCCCCTGTTTCTCCAGACCAGCTTAGATAACTCCAGGGCACAAGGGGTCCTTCCCTTATCCTTTTCTCCTAAGATTTATTACCTGTACCATGACTTGGTTTACTTGTGACTATATTTGTCCTTTATCTTTCATTGCTATCTTATTTCCATGTATTTTAATTATTCACATGGGTCTTTGCAGACGCAAAAAACAGACTAAAGCAAAAACAGAACACTCTGCCTGTACTAAGTGCTCCTTTCATGTCAGATTAGTGGGTTGGAGGATTAGTCTTGATAATCCTGGTCCAATTAACCCGGCCACCAGACTGTGTGGACCACCAGATGAGAGCAGTCAAGTGATCTGCTTGTCAGTGAAGAAAGCAAATGCAGCAATGAGAGTCTGGGGGTGGGAGGCGCTCCAGGGGATGTAAGATGGATGACTAAACATCCTAACTTTTAATCAGAAACGAAAGGGTAATGAACCCATTTTCCTTTTGAACCATGGTTTCCTCTGTTCATCCCATTGTTGCATTTCATGAGGAAATGTAATGGAATTGGAACACAGGAAGTAACTATAAAAACATTTTTATGGAGCTGGAAGTGCAGCCATCCTGAGTCCTTGAGGTCAAGAGCATGGGCTCAGAAACTCAAACAGACTTGGTTTTTAAATCCTCTCTCTGCCACTAGTAGCTTTGAGAACATGAACATGTAACTTGGTCTCATGTTTGTGGAATAAGAATAGTGACAGATACCTTAGAGGGTGATGGTAAGGATTAAATGGAATATGCTTCCTAAGTCCTCAGCACTCAGAAAGTGTGGAGATGGGGGAAATATAATGTCTCTACCAAGAAGCATGGTTTCCTTGAATGTATGGGATTGTGCGGAGGATAAAACCTAGTTTTCCCATGGTATCATCATATCATTAAGTAACATGTAATTATTATAAAACAACATATAAGGCTATGTATTAGAATAGAGGCTAAGCTGCTATAACAGAGAGACCTTGAAATATGACTCAAACAAGATAGAAGTCTATTTCTTATGTAATATTCAGAGATAGAAGGTGATTCAGAGCAGGTAAGTATTTATAGTCCATAAAGCATTCAGTGATCCGGGTTCTCTCCTTCTTGTTGCTCACCATTCTCTAGAATGTTGTATCTGTTGAATTGTCAAGGCTGAGTCACTGCCACATCCATGTTTCAGAAAGAGAAAAGAGTGGTGGAAGACCTATCCAGTGTTTTAAGGCCGAGACTCAGAAGACCCATGCCTTGAACTTACATGGCTGGCCACATCTCACTTCAGGGGAGGCTCCAACATGTAGTCTTGAGAAGCCATGAGTCCAGCTAATGCCTTCATACTAGGGGAGAAGGGAGAATGGATTTCAGGGATAAGCATCAGTCTGCCACAAGGTAAATAAGGACAGGGAGGATTGGACTAGGTAGACTAGGTAGACAGATGATTAGTTCGGCCCAATAAATCCTGGTTGACATCTATCATGTAGCTGGTACTTGGCTTTATAGGGGATTCAGAGGTGACTTAGGTGAAGTCTTTGTACTTCACATACTTACAGTCTAAGCAGACTGATGTTCATTGTTAGAAAGCCTTCAGGGATGAGTAGAGCTTCTGTATGTGGAAGGGACCATGAAGGAACCTGCAGAGGACAGGATTTGTATAGAGTCACCGAGGTAAGGACTTGTCCTGTTGTGGGGACACTGAAGGTCCCAGGGCCCCTTGACTCGCTGTGCTACTGCAGTGTGCTTAATGAGCAATTCCTAAAGGTAAAAGAGCTTTTGTAATCAATGCGGGTTATCCAATATGTGCATAAGCCAGGCTTCTGAATCCTTTCTTCCTTAATGTTCACCACACTGTTTTCGATAAAAACAAATATCTGCGGGGATGGAGCATTGATTAAACCAATCTAGACTCACAACCCTGGCTTTTCCACTTATTTAGCAGTGATAACTTCTGATATATTACTTAGCGTCTCTAAGCCTTACTTCCTGAACTCTAAGATGAGGGGCTCGGATTGAATGATGTCTGATCCTCTCTCAGCTAGAACAACCTGGGATTCTCTGACGGCCTGAGATGGGGGAGAGGGAAGGCCGTCGGCATGATTGAGACTTTCCTCTTGAGCAGCTTTGCCAGGCACCTCCTGGACCAGGCTGTTGGTCTGTTCTGTATAAGCTACTCCATGGGGCAAAATTCAGGGTTTTGGAAAGGGCACAGCTGCCCTTGGGTGCACTTCTTTCTCCCTATTGTGAAGCCCCCTCTAGTTCTTCCCCACTGTCATTCTGGATCCCTCATTCTAACCTCTAGATACTCAGGACTCTCCTTTACAAGGCCTTCCCCTGTTTTCAGAATTGCTCTTCTCATCCACCTCTCTATTAAACTCATCTTTTCTTCAGTGCCAGAACACTGATTAGCTGGGACAAGGAAAAGGACATGCTGTAGCAGTTCACACTAAGGTGTGAATGTCTGGATTTTGTATGTTAACACTATTTACAATATTGTACTTTTTTTCCCAAAAGGATCCTGTTAATCCTTGAAATTGATTAACTAATGGCATAGATTCCAAGCAGTGTGAGTGCTTGACAGTGGAGGGGGAAGACTTGTTTGGGTTGAGAGACTATCCAGGAAAGAAAGAGATGATGATAGATTAAGTTGATAGATTGATAGATCAATAGATTGAGAGATTGATAGATAGACAGACAGACAGACAGACATGGTAGCTGGATGAGAAGGATGAAAACATAGAATCTGGAACCAGACAGCCTGGATTATCTCAGCTCTGTCTCTTACTGTGTAACTTTGGGAACACAGTAAGACCTCACTTCCTGTGCTGGTAAAATGAGGGTCATAGCAAAGTTGGGCACATAGGGTGGTCGTGAGAAGTAAATGACCCAGTATGTGCAGCACACAGAACAGAACCTGGTGATAGCCTCCTCAAGGTGGCCAACTTACTGGTTTATCTCTAAGCTTCCATGTAATAGGATTCTAGTGCTTTTTTTTTTTTCATCCAGGTGATCTAGAACCCAAGATCTCTTCAAATTGGCTGCTTCCTGTTGTCATCCTTTCCTTAGTCATTGCTTTGGTTTTCATCACTTTGATGACACCCCTAAGGAAACCACTCTTCCGAAAACTTTATTGTAGGAAAGGTAAGTGGGTTTTATTCATGGGAACCAAATGGACTGGGCGTCTGCAATGTGGGGCTCTACCTGCCCCAGTGGCCTACAGCTTCCCACACCAACCTCCTCGGGGATTATGAGTCCCCTTGGGCTCATCCTGATGACTTTTCCCCAGAAGAAAATGGCTCTAGTCTTCTTCAGTGAGCTGAAATCCTCATACGGAATATTTTAAAAGGAATGTTTTGTTCCGATGTTGAAATAGTTTGTTTTGTTCTTTGAGCCATGAAGTGTCCTTAGCCTCCTGATATCCGTGTCATTTTGATGATGCAGATAGCTATGTGGTCAGAGTTCATAAGCAGGAGGATGCCAAGATCACTTCTGAGGATGCCTTCAGTTCTCTTCCCTCTTTCCCCATTCTGGGCATCAGCTGGACTGAGCCCTCTCCAGTCCCTAGGAATCTGAACCCCTTGGTTGGTAATGAAAGAAGAAAAGTGTGTGAGGCCATTTGGGGGCGGGAAAACCACCTGTTTGAATGGCTCCCTAATGACTTTTAGTGGTTCCCCTGGAGTTCCTCCTCAGCCTGTCCTGTTCTCACCCACCTGCTCCTGTGGTGTAACCTTTGAATCCTGGCCAGAATATCTGCAGACTTGTCTGGTAGTTTCCTAGCCTGTTCCTTTGTCAGCACCCAGTAAGCTCTTCCCAAGGTCTATACATGGCCTTGTTTATAGAAAAGGAAATGACCTCTGGGAGTAATTCAATGGGAATTGGGAATGGCCACTATTGGGGAATTTGGAGGCCCTTTGGTGTTTGTTATGCTACATTTACAGTCTAATCTCTGTATTCTCATCTGTCTCAAAATACTGTCATGGTCTGTTTGTCCACTGTCCTATGCATGCATTAGCTTGGGTGCTAACCACAAAACTCTCTACTATAGAACCCAAGGAACTATTGTCAAAAAAAGAGGCACGGAGGTTGAGGAAGAAGGAAGAAGGGGTGAAGGAAAAGAGGAAGAAGGGAAAAAGGAAAAGAGAGAGAAATTTAGAAATGGAGAGGAAGGGCATTTCACCATAAAGGAGGAATTACAGTGTCTGACAGTCTTTAGACAGAATCACTTCTTTTTTTCTCTAAACATTTTATTTGGGGTGGAGGGAGCAGAGAAAAAGTGAGAGAGACAGAGAGAGAGAGAAAAAAAAAATTAATCTCAAACAAGCTCCACCTTAGCACAGAGCCAGACAGGAGTCTCGATCCCATAACCCTGGGATCATAACCTGAGCTGAAATCACGAGTTGGACACTCAACCGACTGAGCCACCCAGACACCCCAAACAGGATCACTTCTGCAAATATGTGACCTCAGAGAGCCATGGCCGATGACCCTCATTAGAATCTAATCTTTTGTCCTTCTTTCACCCCAGACACACCCCTCAGAAACAGACCTATACCCACGTTCTAGGCCTAGGCCTGAGAACTCAGTCACCTGAGAAATGGGCAACAGAGTTTTCTGTCCTACTCTCTTTGGGAGAATGAAATGGGGTCACACTGAATGGTAGAGCAGAAAAAATTCTTTTCCTTATCCTTCACCCCAGTCTCAAGAGTGAGTGAGGCTATCAGCAGTTCTACACTAGATGCAAGGCTCGGACACCATCGTGTGGGACATTTTTGTTGTTGATGAGAGTTAAGAGAGTAAGTTTGCAAATGATTCCTTATTTGTTTGTATTGAACCAGAGTGAAATCATGGCTGCCTGTATAATACAACGCCCCACCCTAAGTCACATGCACGGGGATCTGCTTTCTCTCTGGGGAGGCACGTGGACACACACACACACCAGCGTGCCTTCCGTGTGTCATAAAAGGAGGTCAAGAGTGGCTGCCACTGAGAATAGAGCTTTATGCTAGAGTCAGAAGGCTAGATTGGGACCTGAAGCTGCCATTTATTGGCTCTCTGATCTCGTACAAATCACCTAACTCCTCTGAGATGGTTTCTTCTATCTGTAAGTGGGAAGTGACATGAGAATGAACGTGTTACAGCGGATTGACCCGACCTGACTGCCACTGCTGGGGTTCACCTGGCCTGGAACAGAACCCTCCCGACTTGTCTCCCTGCATCCATTTTTGCCACCTCCAATATGGTCTGTTTTCACTTCCAGCCAGAACAGGCTTTTAGATTCTCAAGTCTACGTGTCTCCATAATCTGACATCCCTCATGGCTTCCCACTGCTCCCTAGTCCCAACATGCCCTGAGGCGTGTGACTCACAATTCCAGCTGTGTCCTGAGTCACCATCACCCTTGTTCTCTAAGCTCTAGCCATATAAGGGCCCTAAGTCCTCAGAGGCACCCCACCCTTTCCAATCGGACTTTTCTCATATAGCATGTGCCCTTTGTAAAGTATCTACTTCTTGTCTGACCTGGTGTCACCCCTTAAATCTTGGTGAAGCCAGCACGCCGGCAAGCCTCTCCTGACCCTGCCCCCTCACCATGCCCATTACAGTACATCCCCTTGCGAGATGCTTCCACGGCACCTTCTTCTCCTTCCAGTGCACTCAGCACACAGGTACACATCTGGGACCTGTTTCAGTACCTCGGGCTATAAACTCAGTTGCCTCCTTTTTAATTTTCCAACTAATTCCTCAAGCACCCACCTGCCTGTCTTAGTCACACATCCAGTGTCTCCCTCTTACAGCATGGACTTCCCCTCCTCCCACAGACTGTCACGAGGCCGACTTAGCCCACGGGGCTGCTGCTTCCAATTGGACAGGGAGGCTCCTGGGAAGCCAGGTGGGTTCCCCTGAGGGCCCTGGTTTTGAGCTGTTGGTACTCCCGCCATGCACAGCTCTGTTCCCTCTGGGGGTCTCCATACACCCATGCAAAGGCAGCCTTGCTGGTCCAGACCCCCACACAGACCAGAGTGACCCAAGGTGACACTGTTCAGGCTCCTCCCATGTGCTCTTCCTCAGCCCCCCAAATGAGACCCTCAAAGGCTGATGAGGCCCAAGGGGCTTCCTGCTTCCCCCATAGCTGTGCCCAGCCAGCTTCTTCTGGCCAAGGCTTTCACATTAAGTCTGGGATGCCCGTCCTGACTTCCTTCTCTTGAGTTCCTCTTCAGGCCTTTGCTGTCCTGAACTTGTCTGTCTGTCAGACAGAATCAAGTAAAGGGCTGGCTGTCTTAGTCCCTTTCTGCCCAGAAGGCTCATTGGCCCCTAAACAGACTTGCCTGTCTACGCCTCAGTGATCAGCTCTGCACACCCTGCTGAACGGGGAGGGCAGCTGTGACCAGCCCATAAAAGGCTCTGTTTCCTATCTCTACCTGAGAGGAGCCCTCAACAGTTCAGGGCTCCGGGTGACTCGCTGTGTTCTAAAGAAGAAGCTGACAACTTCTGTTGCAAAAGTAATGTCAAGCTCTGATTCATCTGCTGGTGTTTGAGTTTCATGCATGCAGGGGCTGTGTTTCTCTTACTCACCAATCAATACCCAGTGTCTGAAACATTATCTGGCATATGTAGATGTTCAGTAAAATTTTACACATTGGACCTACTATATGCAGGAACCTATGCTAACCTGCTCTGTATAATATAATAGCCATTTGTGATTATTCAAATTTAAATTAAATAAAAATTCAATTCTTTGGTCATGTTTTAAGCGCTCAGTATTGTTAGTGCTCAATAGCTACATGGGGCTAGAGGCTACTGTATTGGGCAGAGCAGATGTATAATATTTCTCTAGTCCAGTGCAGACAATTCTGTGGGACAGCACTGGGCTAGACAAACAAACTTCTTTTCAGTTAATTTTACAAAAACTTCTTGAGGCAAGAAGTAGTGTCCACATTGCACATGAAGAAACCGAAGCTTGGAAAGTAATCCTAAAGTCAAATAGCTGGGGTTTGAACATAGGTCTGTCTGACGCTGTATGGCCTTCTTGTTGCCAAAGTGCTTAATAAAGACTGACTCGACCTGAATAGTATTATGTTGGGCAGTGGAAGGAAAGAGTCTCAATCCAAAGTAATTGAATGACTTGAACATTGGCTGGGCCGATGGCAAAGTCAAGAACAGAATCCAGGAGGAGTCACCAGCTCTAGGGACCAGATCTCTAGAACAGGCCTGCAGATCATAAGAACAGTATTCCTCAAACTCTCTGTTGTAAGGATCCATGTAGTTTTACATTTCCAGTATGTTAGGGTCAATGCTTTTGTAATATGTACTAAAAATGAATTACTAAAAAGTAAAATAAAAAGAACAAAGGCATAGACCAGTTAGCCCAGTTTTTACTGAATTCAATACATCTCTGGCATTTCAATAGATATGATCAGAAAAAAACACAGTAAAAGGATTACTATAAAAGTTGCTGAATATTATACTAGATCTTGGTAATTGTCTCATTGTGGGCTGATAACGTGTAGTTCACCCACCAGGACCAGCCCAGGGACTCCACTCTTTGAATGGCACTGCCCTAAAAGACTGAGCCAGAACTGTACAGGGATTTAAGCCAAAGACCGTGTTGGCTGGTGGTTGCAGAAGAAACACAGAGCAGCAGCACTGACCTCAAGGTTAGAGAGGACTATACGGAACTCCGCCATTCATGGGCAATTCTGTAGGCTAATTCTTAGGCTCCTTTCAAATGTAAATCCTCTTCAAGGAGACTTCAGTGCTGGATAGAGGCCCTCAAAGTCCAGGCCAAGATTGGTATTAACATGAGGCAGTTACTAAAAATCTAGTGTACAGAGCAAAAGCAGAATTAGGGATATGTGAGTTCAGGAACCCAGGCATCAAGCTCTAGAAGAAAAGCAGAGTTGGGGCAGGGAACATGTGACATCAAGGGTTGAAAAAGAGATAAAATCAGGGAAACATTGGTGAACAGCATCCCATTATGTGAACGTGTGCTTCTGCCCCAAGTTTCTCTGGAACAGTATCAGTCATGTACACCTTAGTCTAAATTAATTGATCACACCTTTTGCTACGAAGTGGCAGTCAAGAGCAAAGCAGAGAGGGCACCTGTGGGGATGAGCACTGGGATTTATATGGAAACCAACTTGACAATAAACTATTAAAAAAAAAAAAAAAGCAAAGCAGAACAAGGAGAGAGAATCTGAAGCCAAACATTTCTTGGGCTGATTACCCAGATTAGGAGTCCTTCAGCCTTTGAGTGTCTGGCAGCCAGGGACTGAGAGAGAGGAATGGAAAGTAGACCTACTACTTTTGTTCACAGTTTTTGCCTAAGGGGACAGTTTGACCTTATCTGTTATTCAGCCTGATGTCTCAAGCCACAGTGTGCATTTGGCCTCTACATGTAATTTATTTGGACTAACTCTTTGTTCTGCCATCTTTTAGCCTGTAAACAGAACACTTTTCTCAGTAATCTTATTCTGTCACTGGGATTTCTCTCTTGCAGACACAACCAAGAGATTGGTCACCACAGTAGGGAAGGACGTGAGCAGAGCTGTGAGTAGTCGTGACTTTTCTTATCTCTTTCACCTCTTTGCGTCTCCTAGCTTCAATTAAGAAATAACCCCTGTTCTCAGGGATGTGCAAAAGGGCAGCTGAATGGTTTCAGCCTGTACGGAATCTTTCTGTTCAGTGGCATTTCTACCAGCTGCTATTGTGACCTTAGGTTGTTCCACACCTTTCTTGGAGGGAAAACAACAACAACAACCTTATCTGCTGTGCAGCCACAGAACAGTTGCGTACTCTTTGGTCTGTGTACATTCCGAGGCACTCCAGGGAATCTGCACAGGCCATCAGGGCCCATGGGCTTAGAAAAACGGTTAACACTTAAAAGCAAGGGAAGATATCCAAGTGTGGGGCAATCAACAGCTCATGTTGTTGCAACCATTGTTAAGTGACTGTTGGGGCTGTGGGTCAAGGTTGGGGAGTAGAAGTCTCTTCATGAGGCTGACAGGCTGGGAGCTGGAATTTGTGGAAAACGATGTGCTATGGAGGTCGGGAGAATTGGAGTTGCTAAAAATCGTTCCGGCTGGCTGGATGAAAAGCTTAGACCCTGGAGAAGTAGTGTTTTGGGGACCAGCGGGCCCGGGTCCTCATGCACAATGAGTATTTCTAGCCTGCTTGTGAAAACCACCTTGCCTTTTGCAATCTGGGGGCCACATGGTGTGACACATGAGTTCATGAGTTTGCCAGAACTGTAGACAACTCATAGAAATTTCTAAACAACTTTGTTATCAGCTACTTGAAATATTCAGAACTGGTCATTTTAGAGTTCTGCTGAAAATAGCCATAAAATTCCGGAGGCACCAACTGTGCAAACAGCTCTAGAGAACGTCAACCCCAGGGTCAGTGTCTGGCAGCTCAGAAGCACAATGAGTGGCAGGAACGCCATCAGGCCCTGCTCCCTCCTACTTCCCACCACCTCCCTGATGGCCATTCAAGAAAACACATCCTTAACCGCAGTACTCACCCCCGGGGCCCAGAACCAAGGAACAAAGGCTGTGTAGGGCTGGACTGTGCTTAAGGTCTAGTTGTGCTGAATTTCTCTGAATCAACAATGAGATTTTCTTGACTCAGAGAAGTTTCGGATTCATCCTAGCAGTCCTAATTGAAACATCTGTTTCTTGAGAAACGAAACCCCCCTATTCCCATAGACTGGGATGCTTGCTATACAGGTGGCTTTGCATGGAAGAGACCTCAGTGTTTGTCTGAGCTTCATGAGCCCGGCGTCTTTGTTTACGTGTCTCCTTCAACTGCTCAGCACAAGGAAGACAGAGAAAAAGGGTGTCTGCTGTACAGCCACAGAACGGTTGATTTGAGAGCAGAGGTGGTAAATTCAGATGCCCACAGGGCCAGGCACGTCCTGAAATGAGAAAGAAGAGCACACGATAGCCAGATAGAGGAATGGTGACCACCTGGAGAGCATATTCCCTGTGCATTTAGCACTAGGCTAACATTATTGGAGAAGGTGGAAATCCAGACTTTTATATAAAATGTCTATGTTCTTTAATGCTGGCTGAAAGTATTTCAAATAGCAAACAAACCAAATAAAATATGTCCATAAGCTAATTGAGCCCTATCAGTGACCAGCTGTAACTTGTCTCCTAGAGAGAAAGTATTGTCAGAAAAATAGCTTAGAATCTGAGTAATGACGCAGAACAACTAAATGAGGGATTGAGGGATGCCCAAAGCCTTGCGGCCATTCTACATGTCTCCTCCTATGGCCCGCCACGTGGTCTGAGTAGTGCATGGTTAATAGAGTGACTTCCTGGGATTAACAGGGTATCACAACCATTTTTAAACAATACATCCTCCTTAAAAACAGAAAAACCTCATACCCTTTTTTAATGGTGTGTGAAATTCAAAATAAAGTAAATATCTTGGTCAAAAGTCAAATTAAAGAAATTAGACTGGGTGCCTGGATGGCCCAGTTGGTTAAGCATCCAACTTACAATCTCAGATCAGGTGTTGACCTCAGGGTCGTGACTTCAAGCCCCTCATTGGGTTCCATGCTGGGTGTGAAGCCTACTTAAAAAAAAAAAAAAAAAAAGGAAGGTAAGAGAAGGAGGGAGGGAGGGAGGAAAGGAGGAAGGAAAGAAGGAAAGAAAAGAAAGGAAGGAAAGGAAGGAAGGAGACTAATTCTTTCCTCTTCCCCCCAACCAATAACATATAGTCACCCTTTGTACCTTCTAACCAGGGGAGGGAGAGTCAAGGATGTGAAAGAATGGTGCTCCTCTTCTCTCTTCCTCACCCTTCCCTGTCACTTAGAATATGTGGTGTGATGTAAAGAGTTCAGGACCACTTAGATGTACATCAAAGAAGACTCACACAGGAATGTTACTGGTACTTTTATTTACAATAACAGCAAATCAGAAATATAGGTAAATAGGAAATATATACAACAACTAAAATGGAAGCACAAAAACTAGATGTATTTTTGAGATGGATAAATCTGAAAAACATAATTTGGGGAGAATAAATAGACAATGTATTGGCAATTATAGAGTATAAAAACATGCAAACAACCCCTATGTAGTGTTTATGGAAACAGTCATGTGAAGTAAAAGTACAAAAGCAACCAGATTTAACTTCTTAAATTGGGTGATGGGTATGCAGATGGTGATGATAATATTCTCCTAGTTTGTTGTATGCCTGAAATGTTTATAAAGAAGAGGTCATAACTAAAATTCAAGAGTTTAGACTCAAGTTTTTCCGTGAGCTACACAATCTTAGGTAAGATCCACCAAGGGGTACTGGAGGCTTCTCCAGGGAAACCGAACCACAGAGCCACCAGGAGACTGGCAAGTATGAAGTCTGTAAGGCAGGCTTGGCAGCTGGAAGTTCAGGTAGGAGTTGAAATTTGGAATCCAGAATCTGTAGAGTCGGCCAGCAGGCTGGGAACTCAGGTGGGATGGCTATACTGCAGTCTCAGGCAGAATTCCTTCTTCCTGGGAAACCTCATTTGTTGCTCTTCAACTGACTGAATGAGACCCATCCACATTCTGAGAAGGCAATCTGATTTTTTTTAATTAAAAAAATTTTTTAAAATCTCTTCATATTTGAGAGAGACAGAGATAGAGCATGAGCAGGCGAGGGTCAGAGAGAGAGGGAGACACAGAATCTGAAGCAGGCTCCAGGCTCTGAGCTGTCAGCACAGAGCCCGACATGGGGCTCGAACTCACAAACCATGAGATCATGACCTGAGCCGAAGCCAGATGCTTTACTGACTGAGCCACCCAAGGGCCCCGAAATTTGCTTTATTTAAAGTCAACTGATGGCAAGCGTCCAGCACATCTACAAAACATCTTCACAGCAACATCTAGACTAACATTTGATCAAACAACAGGGTCTGATAGTCTAACCAAATAGACTCAGAAAAGTAACCATCACAGGCATCAAGACATGAGGGAGGCAGTCTTGGCTGCAGTAAGTGAATTTTTCAGACCTTCCTGAGCCTTGAAAAATAGAAGTTTGTGACTATTCTCGTCACAGAGATGTCCGAGAGGCCAGAGCTCTGTCTAAAACCTGTTCATCCATGAACCTGCCACCACAGTGCCTGCAGACTCACTATTTAGGGTTTTCTATTTATTTCACAGGGTTTTTTCCCTCAGCTCACTGCCTCTTTCAGCAACAAAAGAACATGTGTGGTATGAGAATCCTGCAGTTTATGTGTTTTGAAATAATGAAGAGTTGAGTAAATCAGGAAGGGAAAAAACAACCCTGTTGCCAGAATTACTTGATAAATTTAAACTGAAGGGTTTGGAAATGACTTGTCTGTCTTACTGTCCATTTGTTTCTGCTTCTTGTAGTTTATTCTGCAATAAATGTAAAAGTTGACTGATTTTGACCAAATTTGTCTCACTAGTAAATGATGAATCTTGCTTAATTTTAGTTGAATTGGCCAGCTCAAAAATAAAAACTAATACAGCTTTTAGAACTTAAAAATTTTTTTAATCTTTAATTTTATTTTGAGAGACAGAGAGAAACAGAGTGTGAGCAGGGGAGGGGCAGAGAGAGAGGGAGACACAGAATCTGAAGCAGGTTCCAGGCTCCAAGGTGTCAGCACAGAGCCTGATGTGGGACTAACTCATGAATGCTAGATCATGACCTGAGCCTAAGTTGTATGCTCAACCAACTGAGCCATCCAGGTGCCCTTAGAACTTTTTAAAAATTACATATTTTTTTCTGAGCAAAAATGAAAATAAAAAAGCAAAAGCATAAAGGAAATAAAAATAATTTATAATCTATCGCACACAGATTACCATGGTTAACATGTAATAGTGCTTTAATTTCTAATGTTTTTCTGTATTTAACTTTTATAAAATTAAATTAAAGTATGTATATATAGTATGTATAGCTTGACATAGTTTTCTTTAACTTAATTTTATGTCATTAGTATTACTGATGTGCTAAAAATATAATTAATCACTGATATTTTATTGTATACATGGACTAGGATTTATCTAACTAGTTCCCTATTGCTGAGCCTTTAGTATCTACCTCAGAGTTGTTTTATTTTTTGTTATTTAAATATTATCATAATTAAGGGCACCTGGGTGGCTCAGTCAGTTGGGTGTCTGATTCTTGATTTTGGCTCGAGTCATGATCCCATGGTTCCTGAGTTTGAGCCCTCTGTCAGTGCAGAGCCTGCTTGGGATTCTCTCTCCCCCCTCCTCTCTCTCTGCCCCTCCCCTACTCTCTCTCTCTTCCTCTCTCAAAATAAATAAGGTATAAATAAATAAATATTATCACAGTTAATAATCTTATACACAGATCTTTATGTGCAGCACCAGTAACTAACATAAGGTAAAATCTAAGATGTAAAATTACTGGAGTAAAGCTATAGACATTAAAAAATTTTTTTAAATGTTTTCTATTTATTTTTGAGAGAGAAAGAGAGAGACAGTATGAGCAGGGGAGGGTAAGAGAGAGAGATCCAGAATCTGAAGACAGACTCCAGTCTCTGAGCTAGCTGTCAGCACAGAGTCTGAAGCAGG